CACACACACACACACACACACACACACACACACACACACACACACACACACACTGATATGCTTACTATCAAGCAAAAGACACCACTGATGAATACTGTGAACTCTTATCGGTAGACAGCGCCTTCAGGCACTCCTTGCTACCAATCAATGTTCCGTCCAAGAACAGGCAATCCGTAGACAACTTTCTGTTCCCCCAAGAGCCACATCATGCTGATACACCTGCTGGGTCTTGGACAGTATAATGCCAATGGCGCTCAAGCGGAAGTGAGTTGAACACCATCACCCAGCAACCTACAGAGTCCTCGATAATCTAAAGCCTAGCTATCAATGATACAGCGCCGGCAAAAAAACAGGTGCCAACAAGGAGGAGACAATGGTTCAAAGCTTGCACCTAATTACCTTTGTACAGAGCCGTGTGTAGAGCCTTGACACTCTATAAGGCAGAGGTAGTTCAGATGGGCTGGGGGCTGGAGAAGGGTCTAAGGGGGTGGGGGAGAAGGGTGTAAGGGGGTGGGGGAGAAGGGTGTAAGGGGGTGGGGAAGCAACACCGGGACGGGAAGGAGTTTCCAACAGTACGACGAGAGTGTAAGGAGGGTGTAGAGGAGTGTCTAGGAGTGGGAGGAGTGGGGGAATGGGAGGGAGGCCAGGGAGGGGTGACAGGAGAAACCACCTTCTTCCCCCCAAGTCCCCTCCCTCATCTTCATCTGAAAATTGCGCAGGTACCAAACTGAGATTGAGCTGGCGACCACCAGAGTTACTAAAACTTGTCTCAGAATTGACCGAAGAACTTTGGCCAGACAGACACGGTCTTGCTGGACTACATAAAACTTGATAAAAGTGACACCAATGAGCCGTTTCCGTATGCATTCAATACCACCAATGCCATGCTGATGATGAAGTTTGCATCCGATTCATCATCTGATTTAAACAGCCATTGAGGCACACAGAATTGTTGCAGATGGATTTTGTGCACGAAAGATTCAGATTCTGTTGAGCGGTTTGCAAGTCCGAACTACAGCAATCACCGGCCCCACCTTCCCTTTCCCCTCTCGAACCAAGAATGCCAACCTCAAGAAATAAACATCATGCTCAAAGACTCGCCAATGTGCGTTGCAGTTCCGTGTCCTTGTGTCAAGAAATAAACATCATGCTCAAAGACTCGCCAATGTGCGTTGCAGTTCCGTGTCCTTGTGTCATTTGGCAGTTGCCGAAGGAGGGTATCTTTGGCCTTAGGCAAATCGTCGTGGGGGCGTACAGCACCCGCCCGGACAGCACACCACAAAGTCGACAAGTGGTATTTTTTGACGTTAGCCATATCATGTCCACACATCGATAGATGAACGTACAATACAGCCAGTGTAGCACACAGCATGGGAGCAGTACAGTATTGAATCCTCCTTCTGGTGCTGTACAGCAGACAGATATCCACAGTAAAGTGTGTTACCTGACAAATAATCCCCCACCCGCCCGCGGGGGGAAGACAAGTCACACAATCGATACCTGCCTGCTCTCCATCCAACCCCCCGTCTCCCCCACATTGTGAGGCCCGACCGAGGACATAAACCAGTTCCTTTCCAGCTCGTGTGTGACAGAGCACTTCTCCCCTTCTGCGGCAGGCGACCCATGGTAGTTAATGACGTACGTCCCCAAATCTCCAGCGAACAGGGCGAGGTAGAGTACTCGCCGACCGCTCTCTGGCATTACGCGTCATATTAATCTCCTCACGTTTTTCTTAAGTAATGGATGCAGCCCTCCGGCAGCACCAGCAACATTCCTGCTAGGGTTTCCTTACCTGCCAAACATAACTGTCGGGTCTTCTGCTTTCTGTTTGCACATCCAAGTCTATAGTTCTCTTGTGGTGCAGCGGCAAGAGATGCAGGCCTGGAACCGACATCACCTTCATTTGACTACCAACCTGTCTCCCCATCATCGGAGACATCAGCAAAAAATGAATCTTGCCAGGGGAACACAGCTGACACGCAGTGAGAGCTTCGATGACCGTGGAGCTTGCTCCCTTTCAACCCTCAGGGCCTCGCCGCACTGCTCACCAACTGCACAAAAGAAAAGAATGACGGCGGTGCATCTTCCCAAGTTCTAGCGGAAGATTCATTCTCATTTTGTACATTCGGTGACACAGTGAGAGCTTCCATGACCATGGAGCTTGCTTGCCTGCTTGCTTTCCACCCACAGAGTCAGCAACAAGAGCCAGTCAGGAGCACAACATTGCTCCCTGGCACCGGGCACCAAGAATCCAGATGATTCTTCGGACAGAAGAATGCTCGCAGCGATCTCTGACAGTGATGGCTAGAAACGTTGCCACAGAGGCACAAACAATGCTGAACACAATAGCTAGCGCATCAGACCGGCACCTCCTCCTCTCCCTAGAAATGAAAGGACTGAGGAGGACAGCGGCACCACTGAGGCATTATGATAAATGCTACTCTATTTACAGATAACTTTATTCTTTAAATGATGACGAAGACGAGAATGCTCTACAAACGCACAGTGCTGCGACTGTCCATGAAGCTGGGAGCCATACCGTCCTCAAAAATCTCAGCGTCCCCGTCGTCGCTTGCGACAGAAATTTATCCTTTTACATATACTAATAAAACTAGGGCTTCAACTCCAACAAATGCCGCCATGACAGTCATACCATTCACAAAGGAGTAATGACGATCAAAACATTAAAAAGTGGCAAATCGATCTATATCAACTCGTTGAAAGCCAAAAGGAAAAAGGGCCAAGTGACTCACCACATTTATCTTTAACATTATCCAATCACTGCTTCGGTCGCTTGTTCCCACTTTCTGCAGTAGACCACACACACGGACATATACCGCCAGATGTGTCTTCTGCCAAATATACAAGATCGGAAATTGCTCACAGGTGACTGGAATGTAACCAGGACAATCCTTGGTGGAAAAAAAAACAAGAGAGCAATAGTGAGGTTCAAATTTTCACATGTCCACCAACTGGATCGCCACTGCGTCCTTTTCAAACTAGACCCGTGATGAGAGAGAATGAAACCTGCTGCGATGCCAGATGGTCACGACGGCGAGATGCTGCACTGCCGAAAGAAATCATGGGAGTATGGCACGTACTTCGACCAGAACGGCTGGTACTGCAGCATCGCGAGTTCTAGCCATGGCTTCGCATGCCCGTTATAGTGAATTACCCGCGCATTGTTGATTGCATCCATGCTGACGTTGGCATTACAACCGAGTCCAAGCACATGCCATGATTTGTCTATTGCTTCTGTGTAGTTGTAGAAAGTCAAAAGCGCAGGAGGCAGTGTTCCCAGTTTCCAAAGCCGGCGGTCCCAATTCTGTCCATGAAAACCACAACCACCGCCACCAATCAGATCAGAAATGATTTTGCCTTTCCAGACACTTCAATAACTCATTCATTGCCAGGAATCCTTCCTTCTCTCTACACTTAACGCTGTTGCGTCCATCTGATTCCATCAGCATTCAAAGTCATGAATCTGTTGTTTATTACCAACTAGACATGTGTACCACTCAGCCACATGGGTTAGGTGTTCAATTACTTTGTCAATCAACAGCAGAGAAACTTGCTCACAGAGTTCTCAACTCACACCCTCTACATGCATGACATGCTGACACAAATGCACAATCTCTCTCTCTCTCTCTCTCTCTCTCTCTCTCTCTCTCTCTCTCTCTCTCTCTCTCTCTCTCTC